TAGTAACTGAGAGCATACTTTGAGACACCACCCTCAAGGCAGAGAGAGATGACTGGGAATGGTGTGGGCTTTGACGTTTCCTGATGTTACATGATGAAGTTTCAAAGCCCACCTCCACGGACACACCTCCTCCAACAAGGCTGTATCTTCCAATCCTTCCCAAACAGTTCCACCAACTGGGATCAAGCATTCAAATATGAGTCTATGGGGACCATTCTCATTCAAACCATCACAATGTATACGTCTGTGTGGATGTTTGCCACCTGGGTGCTGGGAGGTTGCAGATACCTCTAATCCTAGCACCCGAAAGGCAGAGCCAGGTGGATCTCTGTGAGTTCCAGGACAGCCTGGTCTACAGAGTGAGTTCCAGGACAGCTGAGGTTACACAGAGAAACCCTGTCTCAAAACAAACAAACATGTCAAAGTCTACCACATGTGGTTGCCCGCAGAGGTCAAAAAAGAATGTCAGAATCCCTAGAGGTGGAGTGACAGGTGGTTGCGAAACATCTGAGCTATGTTAAGAACTGAACTCTCTTCTCTAAGAGAGCAGCAAGCAGGTGCTCCTAACTGTTGAGCCTCCCCTCCCCTCCTCTCCTCTCCGCTCCTCTCTCCTCTCCTCTCTTCTGTTCCCCTTGCTAGTTCTTTTTGTTTGCTTGTTTTTCTAGGCAACTACTCTATTACTCTGCTAAATCCCAATCCCATCTTTCTTTTGTTTTTGCCTTTCCTGAGGATTGAATTCAAGGGGCTGGAGAAATGGCTCAGAGGTTAAGAGCACTGGATGCTCTTCCAGAGGCCCTGGGTTCAATTCCCAGCACCCACATGGCAGCTCACAACTGTCTGTAAGTTTAGTTCCCAGGACCTGACAGACATACATTCAAACAAAACACCAACATACATAAAATAAAAATTAATAAATTATCTAAAAAAGAGAGAGAATTGAATTCAAGGTCTTGGCACCAAGTTGTCATGTATATGTGTATATGACATATATATGTAGTCACATATATATACCATATATACACATAATCTATAGTCTGTGTCACTATCACTCAGCTAAATACCTGTCTTCCCACTCTTCTCATTTTAATGTTTGGTGCTCCCTCCCAAACCTCCGTGGCCAGGGCTTCCTGCAATACAGTTCTTGTCTTTGGGATTTTAGCAATAAAGAGGCCCACTTGAGGCCTTTGCTGGATGAGGGTTCTTTTAAAAAAAAAATTATTTAATGTATGAGTGCTCTATCTGCATGTATACCTATGTGCCATAAGAGGGAGGGCATCAGATCACATGTGAGCCACCATGTGGTTGTTGGGAATTGAAGTCAGGCCCTCTGGAAGAGCTGCCAGTGCTCTTAAGCACCAAGCCATCTCTCCAGCCCCTGGAAGGGGGATTCATGAAAGAACTGTTTACAGAGGAGTGTTCAGGGATGCAGAAGTCCCAAGGCTCTGCATCTTTGCAACAGACACTACCCTGAGGCAGAGGAATTAAGGGCAGGGGGTCTCGCCAGGAAATGCAATGATTGGCGAATCAACGGATGTGGCACACCCTAGCTGCAGCCCTCAGTAGAGGACTGTGATCCTGGCCAAGGGGACCTCATTGTGGAACGAAAGCCTGATAAACAGACTCATCTCAGGTTCCAGGTACAACTCAGTGGTTGAGAGCCACCTGGCCAGTACCAGGCCCTGGGTCCAGTCCTCAGGATAGCTAGGGGAGTGTAGGACTATTCTGGTCTCTCTTCGTTCTTTCTTCCTTTCTTCAAGACAAAAGTTTCTCTGTGTAGCCTTGGCAGTCCTGGAACTCACTCTGTAGGCCAGGCTGACCTTGAACTCACAGAGATCCACCTGCCTCAGCCTCCAGAGTGCTGAGATTAAAGGCGTGCATCCCCATCGCCCAGCTCTCTCCCCCTTCTTATTCTGCCATTTCTCCTCCTGGCAAACTCAGCTGAGGGCAGAAGGTCCTCAATGAGACTGTGGCAGGAATCAGGTCCTGGACAAGCAGGGCAGCAGAGAGACAGAGTGGGGATTGGGCAGAGAATGGCTGTCCCCTTCTTGGGTTTGGCTTGTGGATACATTTATTTTTGAAAGTGTCTTCTGTGTCTGACTCAGAAAATCCTTTTCTTATCTTTCCAGGCCCAGACTACCCTATCTATGGCAGTTCCAGACCTCTCCCACCCCTGGGGCCTTGGGTGTCAGTATGTATCGCTACATTGCTTAGGCTAGTGCTCAGGCATTACTCTCGATGCAAGCTTGCATCCCCAGGTGAAGGTTCTGGCATCTTCTACACAATGAGCTTCTTGCAGATCTGGGCCAATAAAGCCATTTGCTCTGATACAGACTCAGCACAGGCCAAACGTCCATGTGTGCCAAGGGACTGAGTTCCATGACCTTGCTCACCGAATGCCCCCTGGGCTGATGCAGTCTGGCCATGTGTGTGTGTGTGTGCGTGTGTGTGTGTGTGTCTGCCATGGTCCACAGGAACTCTGCAGTGGTGGATAGTATGAGCCTGGCATGCAGCCAGTATAATATGTTGCCTGAATTGATCTCAATAGCATCATCCATCCTTCTTGTCCTTCCTCCATTCAACGAGTATTTGTTAGTTTTCATTATCATGTGTGTGCATGTGTGTGTACATCACATGTGTGTATGGGCACGGTAGCATGTGTATCACTTGTGCAGAGCTGGTTCCCTTCTTCCACCATCACGAAGGTTTCAGAATTCAGTAGCTAGGTTGGCTCAGCAAAGTGTCCTTAAACTGAGACCATCTAACAGAGATTTCTATTACATGCCAGGCCCATTGTAAGCTTCTGAGGACACAGCATTGAGTACGTCACACAGTCCCTTCCCCTGAGGACCTTCCATTCTAGTGGAGGAAGCAGAAAAGTTAGGAATTACAAATGAACACTATTGCCGGGCGGGCGGTGGTGGTGCATGCCTTTAATCCCAGCACTTGGGAGGCAGAGGCAGGCGGATTTCTGAGTTCGAGGCCAGCCTGGTCTACAGAGTTCCAGGATAGCCAGGGATATACAGAGAAACCTTGTCTCAAAAAAAAAATCACACACACAAAACAACAACAACAACAACAAAAACAAAAACAAATGAACACTATTGCCAGGTGCTAGTGGCTCATGGCTTTAATCCCAGCACTGGGGAGGCAGAGGCAGGCAGATCTCTGAGTCTGAGGCCGGCCTGGTCTACAGAACCAATTCCAGGATGGTCAGGGCTAAACAGACACTGTCTTGAAAAACAAAAACAGAAAACAAACAAGGGCAAAAACCAAACCAAAACAAATGAACACTATTGAGATTTTTTTTTTAGATTTTCTTTCTTTCTTTCCTTCCTTCTTTCTTTCCTTTCTTCCTTCCTTCTTTCTAGAGTTTTCTCTGTATAGCCCTGGCTGTCCTGGCACTCACCCTATAGACCAGATTGGCCTCAAACTCAGAGATCTACTTGCCTCTCCCTCCCTAGTGCTAGCTAGGATTAAAGGCTAGATCTCAGGCCTGGCTTGAGATTTATTTTTCTTAATTATATATCTGTATGTCTATGTGTGAGTGAGTACATAGGCCTGAGGAGGCCAGAAGTGTGGTGTCCCTCTGGAACTGTAGTTACAGACCATTGTGAGCTGCCTAGTGTGAGTCGTGCCCCCACCCCTAACCGCTGGATTATCTTTCTAGCCCCAGGTAAACCCTAGTGTTTCCTACTGTGCTCCCTGCTGCTGTACAAAGGATAAGCAAGGTGATGGATACAGCAGACGGACGTGTGGATCCTGTGAGGGCTGCTTCTCTATGGAGACGACAGACATGGGAGCTGAGCTCTGAAGGACGGCAGAATCTGACATAGACGACAGCAAGGACAAAGGTCCAAGCTCGAAGGAGTTTCTGGGACTTAGTAGGGATTCCGTTTTTCACACTAAGGAGGTTAGTGGGAGCTGCCAGGAGTTAAGGATGCAGCCTTGGGGACACCCCTGCCAGCTCCTAGGCAAGGGGACTGGAAGGGAAGAGGCAGCCCCTGTGACTGCCACTCTTGCTGCTTGTTGCCTAGCACCTTGGGTAAACAGCAGGCTGGCAGGCCTTGCCCTTGCTCCCTTCTTTCTCTCTGACTGGCAACAGCTGTCCAGCAAGGAGCTGGAGGCCCTGCCAACATCCTCCCCTGGAATATTTCAGGGCTAAGTCAGAAAATGACCAGCCGCCTCCAAATCTCTTCTTCCATAGACCTTACATGGGTATATTGGTTGCTCTGGGCTTTTTGCTTCCTCCCTCTGCCGTCTACAAAAAGATGCAAACACACAGCCCCGGCAGGCACTCCCAGAGAGTGCACAGCCACAGCCATACACCTCCCCCTACCCCTCAGCTGCCACATTGGCACATAGCAGCCCAGTCAGGCACACAATCACACGGTCATACACCTGCTCGTAGTCGCTGCCGCCAGCACCCACTTCCCCCCAGGACACTCACACCTCACACAATCAGCCCGCTCTCAGGTCGAAGAGCTGCACCCAGGACAGGAAGGAAGTCACACTGGGGATACAACCCTAGACCCATCTCCTGCTGCACACACAAGACCTTCACCAGATGTTCCCAGCTGTGGGCACATGGAACACAACTCACAAGCTACCCCGTCAACAGCACACCGGCATCAGTTCTCATTCGCCATCGCCTAGGATGCGATAAGGATCTGGTTAAACGGTGTCCAGCTTTCTGGCCCTCGCTGCTGGGTGCACAACATTCCTCTGCAATTGAATCAAAGCCCTCCTCCCTGACAGACACAGAGACTAAGTGGAAAAAAATAATCAGATCAAGAATGCCTGGGGCCCAGGTCTGGGAAGGGGCCCAGCAGCTCTTCCTGGGGGGAGGGGAGAGTGCCTTCATCTAACCCGGACACCGGAGGGCCAAAGACTTAGGGGTGGGCGCATGCCTTGAAACACAACAGAAGTGGCTAAGCAGGAGCGACAAGTGGAGCTCTCAGAAGACCCCAAGAAACCTCCCAGGGAGAGGGGAAGAAACTAGAATGAAACAGACTCAACTTTACTGCCTTAAGCATTTCTGCAGTTCTTCCTCAGCCGTGGCCCCCAGCTGTCTCCAGACGCATGGGGTGTGGCGGTTGACATCCCCGCCGCCCCTTCTCCAGCAGGCGTCCTGCCCCACCCCCTCACGACAGCTGCGGGCCACCAAGAAGGTGGCCCGGCTCCAAGCCCTTGTGCGGGTGGGGCTCGCAAGGCGCTGACACGAGGGGCGCTGGGTCCCTCCGGGTACCCCACCAGTAAACCTTCCTCCCGCCTGGATTGAACTCGGGAGCTGCTCCCCTGGCACTGAACAGCCCCCTCCTCTCCTCACCATGCAACCAGGGCCAGAAGGAAAGGTGGAGAGATGGAAGGAAGGTTCGCGAAGTGCCGCTGGGCCGCCCCCCTCATCCCACCCCACCCCCACCCCCTCCCACCCTCTCCCCGCCCCCAGGGCCGCGGGGCCCGCGCCCTCCTCCCGCGGGTGATCGTCCGGCCAAGTGGGCGCGTCCCGCCGGGGCCGCCGGGATCTGGTGTCCGCTGCAGCTGGCAGTGCGGCGGGCGCCGGCACGGGCACAATCGCCGACGGCGTTGGCTATTAATAACGCTCCGGGCGAGCCCGGGGTCGCGTAGCCATGGCCAGCCCGGAACCCATGCGCGGCGGGGACGGCGCCCGGGCCGCGAGGTAGGATCCTCCAGGGCCCGTTTCACCGCCCGGTAGGACAGGGGGTGCTGGGTGGGCTCCCATCTCCGACCCGCGGACTCTTTCCCTTGGCTGTGGGTAGTGGTCATGCCCGGGTGTGGCACGGGGCGGAGCCACCGGGGAAGGGAGATGGGAGGCCCTGGCTTGGGGACCTGACACCTCCGGTGGTCTGTGTTACTCCTTCCACTGGCTGAGTGCGATTTTTCCTTTCAGGATAGCAACCTGTCAAAGTGTACTTGGCCTAACTGACCAAAGAGTAGAAGTTGTTTGTTTTTTTTTTTTTTTTTTTTTTTAGTCTTATTTTTTTCCCGTTGTTTCTCATTCACTTGTTATTGGGGCTAGGGAGAAAGCATTTGAGATTTCACTGCATTTGAGCCACTTGGTGCAGGGTTGGGCACGTGCCAGCTTGAACTAGAGTCTGTTCAGTCAGCTCATTCTGCCTGGTGTGGCTCAGGGTGGAGGCCTAGAGAGGGCTTGTCCTCCTGTCCTAGCGCTGGGCCCTGGCTGAGCCCAACAGCTGTCCACACTGTAACTTTACCACTGGGGATTGTGGAGTCGTTTTGCCCCAGGTCACATTGTGGTCCAGGGACTTCCCAGTGTATCAAATTATGGGAATACTTCCTGGTACCCCTGTTGTCACATGAGAAGACAACGCTAAGCTGGGTCTTAACACATTTTGCCTGTGTTCCCTACACACACACACTAATAAACCTGAAGCCAGGCATGAAGTCTTGCTTGCATGACATGTAACACACACATCCACGTCACAATCTGATGGACAGCGTAAAGGATTCTCTACGTCCTCTGGGACAGAGACAGAGTGACAGAGGCCTTGAGGTCAGGGGTCCCAGCTGGGCACTGTCCCTCTCTTGCTTGGCCTCCTGTAGTCTGTTTCTTTGCTAGCTCAGTAGAGAGGCAGTTAGCTGAGGACAGCCTCTGGTACCCAGGTTGGTGTGGCAGCCGGGAAGTCAGGAGGCCTGGGCTCTATACCACCAACCTGCCACTTGACCTCGGGCACATTTCCCCTGGGAGTTCAGTTGTTTTCTTCTTGCCTTCCAAGGGCCCCACAAGTAGCTCTGTCCTCAGGACATTTGCGCTCATCCAGTGGACAAACGTACCTTCATAACGTAAAGTCACTACTCCTGAATATGATGAGCTGCCTTCAGAATGTCCTGAAGACACAAGTGGGTAGTGTTTGGGATATGGTACCAAGTAGATGGAGTTGGAGGATACTTGTTAAGTTAACAGATTTAAAAAAAAAAAATGTATTTGTTTTAACCCTGACTGTTCTGGAACTCACTATGTAGACCAGGCTGGCCTTTAACTCACTGAAATCCACCTGCTTCTGCCTCCTAAGTGCTGGGAGTAAAGACAGACACTACCACTGCCCAGCAACAGATTATTTTTTTCTAGCTGGAGAATGAACCTAGTCCTTCATGAATGCTAGGCAAGTGCTGACCCCTGCCCCCCCCCCAGTCTCAACTCTAACCCTAGAAAGATGGTCTGACTATGATGTTTCAAAGAGTCTTTTAGGTTTGTGCTAAATGGGGCTAGGTACTGTGGTCTCCAGGCTCCCTCCATTTACAGAACCTCAGGTGAGAGGTGAGCCTTCTGCTCCGTGCCCTTTGGCTTGCCGGCCCCTGCGCTGGGTGTAACAGATGAGCAGCCAACAAGTGAGTATTCATGTAAGTGCTTAGAATAGTGGTTAAGTCATTCCAAGGCAGAACATGATGCGGAGGGAAAGCAGGGACTCTGGCAGAGCAGCAGAGGTGGGCCCGGCTGTCCGAGCGAGCAGCTGCTCCTTCCCAGTGCAGGCAATTTTACCTTCTCTGGTAGCTCAGGTTGGTGTTTTTGGGCAGATTGGTATTCAGGAAGTTGCGTTTTTCCAGCTAGCTCCTTTAGATATTGTGGGCTCGGAGTAGGAGGTGTGAAGAGTTGCCACATGTTCTGGGTTGCCAGGCACTGGGCAGATGGCAAGAAGAAAGTGAGTTGAGACTAAAAACTGTACGGCAGGGCCACATCTCTGAGATTCTGAGAGCCGGGCATGGATGGCTTGTGCCTGTAATCGCAGCACTTGGGAGGCTGAGGCAGGAGGATCGTTAAGAGTTCCAGGCCTGGGATTGGAGAGATGGCTCAGCTGAGAAGGGCACTTGTGGCTCTTGTAGAGGACCTAGACTGGGTTCCCAACACCCACAAGGTGTCTCTCAACCATTCATGACTCCAGGGGATCTGATGCCTTCTTTTAACCTCTGAGGGCAGCAGGCTTACATGTGGTACACAGACATGCATGTAGGCAAAACATCCATACATATAAAATATTAAAAAAAAGAGAGACCAGGGCCAGCTAAGGCTACGTAGTGAGTACCAGGCCACCTAGGGCTTTATAGCATGAACCTTTATAGCAAGATTTTGCAACTGTGACATGGAGCAACTATGTTGTAGACAGTAAATTATGGCTAGATTTAGCTACAGAGAGGCAAGGAGGCCCATTAGAAGGCTGGTACAGCCAAAGTCACGGTGGAGCACTGCTTTAATCCCAGCACTTGGGAGGCAGAGGCAGGCGGATCTCTGAGTTTGAGGCCAGCCTGGTCTACAGAGTGAGTTCCAAGACAGTCAAGGCTAAAGAAAACAATATAAACAAACAAACAAAAAAACAAACCAAAAAAGCCGATACAAAACAAAGTAAACAGTCCATGGCTTGGACTAGGGCCCTAATAGTGGAATGGAGAAGGCTGGACAGGGCTGGAGACTTCCTGTGGTAAAGGTCAGTTGGCAGGGGGGTGGCTAAATAGAGCAGGGAACTGAGTGCAGGTTTCTAGTTAACCGACATGACTCAGAGGCAAGGAGAACTATAATCTGAGGGCAGCCGAGCTGAGATCAAGCCTGATAACCCGAGCACCACCCCCAGAACCAGCGTAGGAAGGAGAGAAGTGCCTCTCACAAGCTGCTCTCTGACCTCTACGTTTGCACTTTGCTCACACCCCTCCCTCCCACACACACATGTGCACATTAAATAAAATGTAAAAAGAATATAAATTTGGAGCAGATTTCAACAATCACCTCATACATTCATTTTGTTGTCGTTGTTCTTGTTTTGTTTGTTTGTTTGTTTGTTTTAATATAAGGTCTCAGGTTCTCACTATGTTGCCCTGGGTGGCCTGGAACTTGCCATGTAGATTAGACTGGCTTGGAACCTACAGGGCTCCATGGAACCTACCCGTGCTTCTGTATGGGATTAAAAACAGGTTTCAGAATGCCCCACCCATTTTTCCCTCAGAGAGGAAGTAGGTTTTGATTATCTGTTTGTTTGTTTGTTTGTTTTTTGAGACAGGGTTTCTCTGTGTAGCCCTACCTGTCCTGGAACTCACTCTGTAGACCATGCTGGCCTCGAACTCAGAAATCCGCCTGCCTCTGCTTCCTAAATGCTGGGATTAAAGGCGTGGGCCACCACCGCCCGACTAAATTACAGTTCTCATGAAGCTGGGGGTATGGCTCAGTACTGGTTGGATAAGGTAGACCACCTGTAGTTTCAGCTCTAGAAGGAAGAGATGGGGTTCCCCAGGTCAAGCTGGCTGGGAAGATTAGCCATGTTGGTGAGCTCTGGGTTTGGTTGAGAGATCCTTCCCCAGTGAATAAGGGAGAAAAGCTATTCAGCAAGATTCTCAGCATTAGTGTTTGGAGTCCGTCTGCATAGATGTGCATGTGTACATGTACAGATATGAGTGCCCAGGTTGATTCTGAACTCTCTATGCTGGTAAGGATGACCTCGAACTTCTGATTCTCCTGCCTCTACCCCCTGAGCGATAGGGTTATAAGAATAGGCATTCACTACCACAGCTGGCTTTATGTAGTGCTAGGAATCAAAGCCCAGGCATCTTACATGTTCCATGAGCACTCTACCAACTGAGCTATAGCCTCAGCTATTACTCGCATCTGTTCCTGTGTTTGCACATATGTGTACATATGTGTGAAGGCCAGAGGTCAATTTTGCGGATCCTCCTCGACTTTTCTGTAGGATCCCTTGCTGGGGTTCACCAGTTAAGCTATACCAAGTCTCTGGGGGTTCTCCTGTCTCAGCCTACTCAGTGTGAGGCTTACAGGTGTTACCACAGCATCTGGGTTTTTCACAGGGCTGCCGGGACCCACACTCAGGTTCTCATGCTTGCATGTGGGAAGCTGGTACTTTACTGCCCATCTTCGCGGCCCATTGGGGTGTTTGTTTTGGGCTTTTATTTGGTTTTAGATTTAACTTTAAATTTGTTTTTGGCATGTAGGCAGGGAGGGATGCCTGGGGCCAGAAGAGGCATCATCCCAACCCTCCTCTGAACTGGAGTTGCAGGTGGTTGTGCTGGGAACTGAACTCTAGTCCTTGGTAGGAGCAGCTAGTGTTCTTTAGTTCTTTACCACTAAGTCATTTCTCCAGCCCCACCCCTGCCTCTTTAATACCTACTCACTTAGTGTGTGTGTGTGTGTGTACTCCTGGGACAACTTGAAGAAATCAGTTCTCTCCATTTGGAAGCCTGGGATTGAACTCAGTTTATCAGATTTGGTGACAAGTGCCTGTATCTGCTGAGCCACTCACTGAATCCCCCTTTTTTTGTGTGGGAGTGGCAGATTTTCATGAAACCAGGTTGGTCTCCAACTCACTAAGTAGCTGAGGCTAGCCTTGTATTTCTGACCTCCTCCCTCAGCCTCCTAGGTGTTGGGATTACAGGCATGCACCATCATGGTTGTCTTTCCTTGTTTTGGGGGGACAGTCTAGTCCCGATTGCCCTTGATCGTGTATAGAACCGTGGAACACCCAACTGTGCCTGAGAGTAAGCTGCCTCTCCTTGAAGTGACATAAGCAGGGACTAGCCAGTGATGCTGTGGTGTCAGGGAATGCAAACAGTGGGCTGTGTGTGAAAGAGGCAGATTAGGGAGGGGAGCAGTGTCTTAGGGTCTCATTGCCGTGAAGAGACAGTGCGTAGCGCCCGCCTCGCCGATAAGGAAGACGCCACACACGATGAATTCTTCTGACACGCAGTTTATTACAGCTCTTTTAGGTTGCAGGCGAGAGGGCCCCGAACTGCAGAAAGGCTGCTCCTTATATAGCCCCAAAAGTCCCAGCCCCTAGATCCTGATTGGTCAGTTAGTGCTCGGATCATGTCAGGTCTGATCTGGATTGGTCCCTGGCGTAAGCCTCAATTAGCATAAAAGGCGCGCGTGGCCCACGCATGCGCCCTTGGCATGCGTGGCTTGCGCATGCGCACTAGGCCTTCGGCGAGGAACCCGGAAGCAGTCGCCGTCGCTATCGCGTTACGGCGATTGCGGCTCTCAACAAGACAGCACGACATCATATAAAGGAAAACATTTCATTGAAGCTGGCTTACAGTCAGAGGTTCAGCCCATTAGCATCATGGCGGGCAGCATGGCAGCCTCCAGGCAGACATGGCACTGGAAGAGCTAAGAGTTCTACATTTTGATTCGAAGGCAGCCAGGATTAGGGTCTCTTCCACATTGGGTGGAGCTTGAGCATAGAAGAGACCTCAAAACCCACTCACAGTGACACACACTTCCTCTAACACAGACACACCTCCTCCAATAAGGCCACACCTTCCAATAGTGCCACTTCCCAAGGGTCAAGCATATACAAACCTCCACAATAAGTAAGAGACCCTGATGCGGCTAACCGTGAGGTAGAGGCATTTGACACATCAGAGGGGCACAGGCTGCTCTTTCACGGCCTGTCATCTCTCTTGCAGGGAAACACACACCGAGGCCAGTTTTCCTCTTCAGGACTCAGAATCCCCGAAGGAGGCCAAGACCTTTAACCCAGAGGCCACTCTGTCTTTGGAGGGGACTGTGAACCTAGAAGACATTCTCTATCTGGGGGCATCGGGGGACTTTGAAGAGAGTCTTTATGAGGAGGAGGGGTCTGAGAAGCCGGAGCAGACACTGTATATCGAGGAATCGAGGCAGCCTGACGAAGCACTGGACCTGGAAGAGCCTGTGAGTCCAGAGGAGACGCTGTTTGTGGAGGAATCCGTGAGGCCAGATGAGGTACAATTTTCGGAGCAGCCTGTGGAGCTAGCTAAGAGCCCAACTGCTGGTGAGGGAAAAATGGTGGCCACAGAGGAAAGCCTTCCAGCTCAACCGATTCCCAGCGCAGAGGAGGACCTCAGCGTGGAGGACCTGGAGTTGCTGGAAGGCCGTTTCCAGCAGTGTGTACAAGCTGTGTCTCAGCTGGAAGAGGAGAGGGACCAGCTCATCCACGAGCTAGTGCTGCTCAGGGAGCCAGCCCTGCAGGAGGTGCAGCAAGTCCACCAGGACATCCTGGCTGCCTACAAGCTGCATGCACAGGCAGAGCTGGAGAGGGACGGGCTCAGGGAGGAGATCCGGATGGTGAAGCAGAAGTTGTTCAAGGTGACCAAGGAGTGCGTGGCTTACCAATACCAGCTGGAGTGCCGCCAGCAGGACGTGGCTCAGTTTGCCGATTGCAGGGAAGCGCTGACCACTCGGGCAGCCCAGCTCTCTGGAGAACTGACCCAGCTCCGAGATGCCTATCAGAAGCAGAAGGAGCAGTTGCAGCAGCAACTCGAAGCACCCCCGTCCCAGAGCGATGGGCAGTTTCTCCAGGAGAGCCGACGGCTGTCGACACAGTTTGAAAATCTCATGGCAGAAAGCCGCCAGGACCTGGAGGAGGAGTATGAACCTCAGCTGCTTCGGCTCCTGGAAAGGAAAGAGGCGGGGACCAAAGCTCTGCAGGACACCCAGGCAGAGATCCAGGAGATGAGGGAGGCTCTGAGACCTCTGGAAGCGGAGGCCCGGCAGCTCCAGCTTCAGAACAGGAACCTGGAGGACCAGATCACTCTCGTGAGGCAAAAACGAGACGAAGAGGTTCAACAGTACAGGGTAGGCCCATTGGCTGTGCAAGAGATGGGGTCTTATTATGTAGTTCTGGTTGGCCTGGAGACCTTGAGAAACTTGAGACCTTCCTGCCTCAGCCTTCTGAGTGCTGGGACTATAGGTGTGTGCCACCACATCCAGCAGAAATGACATCTTTTAGCTCAAAGGAAGTCTAATGTCCTTTTCTCCTTCTGAGACAGAGTTCCTCTGTGTAGCCCTGACTGTCCTGGAACTTTGTAGATCAGGCTGGCCTCAAATTTCCAGATCCACCTGCCTCTGCCTATTGAGTGTTGGGACTAAAGATGGGCCCCACCACACCCAGATGTGTCTAATAATGTCTTTGGGGCTAAGGGTTATTTACCATCCAGTACTAGAGAAGAACCTGTTCTTCGGGCCCATTCATTCATTCTATTATAATAATTATCATTAATTTTATTTATTATTCTTTCATACAATATATCTTGACCACAGCCTCCCATCCTTCCGTTCCTCTTGGTCCACCCCCGCCCAACTCATTCTTTCCCTTTGTTCTTTATTAATTTTATTTGGTTAGGCCAGGGTTAGGATTTAACAGGTGTTTTTAGTCTGTTTACATAGCTCTCGTGAGTGTGTGCGTGCGTGTGTGTATGTGTGTGTGTGCCCGTGTATGTGGTAGTGCAGTTTGTGGAAGGGTGGGGGTGGGCTCTGGGAACTGAACGTAGGACTTCACACAGTCTAGTCAAGCTCTCCATAGCTTTACCCATAGTCCTCTTTTAACTTGAGACAGGACCGTAGTTGTCTAGCCTAGTCTTGAACTCACTCAGTAGCTCAGGCAAGCCCTGAGTTTGAGATCTTCCTGCTTCAGCCTCGCATGTAGCTGGGATTATAGGCCTATGCTACCAGGTAAAATGGGCTTGGATACACGGCTTGGATTCTTTTTTTTTTTTTTTTTTTTTTTTTTTATAGACAATGAAACTGAGGCTCTGCAAAGTCGTTTGAGGTTGGGTCTGGCCAGCCGTGTTTCCCTGCTTCTTTTTCAAGTCTAACTAAACAGTGACTCCTGCTTGGCTAGAGAGTTAGAGCAGCCCAGTGCAGGAGCTCATTCTGTGCTCTCCTGGGCTCACTGACCCTCAGAACCTCCGGTCCAGCCTCCACCTTGAAACTGTGCAGCGTCTGGGATGGAGTCTCTCAGCACTTTCCATTTTTGTACATGTCACCATATCCCTTGTATTCGAGTTATTTCTGATTAAGTGTGAGCCAGTTCTAACCCCGTTTTAGAACAGAGTAGGATATAAATACTGAGGGAATAAACATTTGTGTGTGCTGCCGCAGGCTGGATGTGCAGAAGGCAAGGGCTATCTCCTAGTGTCTGCCACATAGCTTAGGGAACACAGTCAGCCAATGTTACGTGTAGATAGGCATACTGAGGAAACTTTCCTGTGGGACCTTTTACAACCACGTGTTGTTTTATTTGCAGACAGGGTCTCAAGTGGCTCAGCTTGGCCTCAAAGCAGGAGCTCCTGATATCCCTGTCTACCTCCCATGTGCAGGCCTTTAACTCACCCTTCTCCTGCCTCAACCTCCCAAATCCTGGGACTATCACCTATCATCATGTCTAACTTGGTAGTTTTGGTTTTTTTTTTTTTTCTTTTTTTTTTTTTTGGTTTTTCGAGACAGGGTTTCTCTGTGTAGCCCTGGCTGTCCTGGAACTCACTCTGTAGACCAGGCTGGCCTCAAACTCAGAAATCCGCCTGCCTCTGCCTCCCAAGTGCTGGGATTAAAGGCGTGCGCCACCACCGCCCAGCTTAAAATTTTTTTTAAATTTTATTTATTTATTTATTTATTTATTTATTTGTGTGTGTTTTGAGACAGAGTTTCTTTGTGTGGCCTTGGCTGGCCTCTAGCTCTGTACAGCAGGCTGGCCTTGAACTCACGATCTTGAGATTAAAGGTGTTCACCACTGGCTTCAGATTTTATTTTTAGCCATGAGTATCCACTTGGGTGAGCGCACATGAGCGAGCACTGGTGCCCTCAAAGACATGGGGTCTATAGGAGCAAAACTCAGAGGTGGTTGAGAGCTGCCTAATGGGGAGCCATCGAATGCAGGCCTCTGCAAAAGCCATTTATCCGGCTCTATACATGCTTAAACTCTTGATTCTCCTGCCTCAGTCCCCTGAGTGCTGAGGTTTCAAAGCCTATGTCACTATGCCTATCCCAGTTCTTTTTTTCTGAGAGGACTCCAAAATGGTGTCTGCAGGTGACTCGCCCTGTTTCATTCTGGTTACTTTTGAAGGCAGCTCCGAGCTTCTTAGATTGCGCCCGCGCCCTTAGAGTCGGTTTGTGGACACTACCACCTCCTTTATCCATTCATTCACAGTTTCTACGTGACTAGTATAATGGAGGCTAAGGTGCTGGCAAGAAAAGGGAAGAAAAGGAAACAGTCAGGGATGAGGTTGCTGTTCTCAGAGTTTGCAGTCTGGGAGGGATGCCAGACAAAATGAACATTTCCATAAAATCCAACATCGTTGACATTAATGAGGCTTCCCGAGTTGAGGACGTAGCTCAGTGCTAAGGTGCATGCTCAAGGCCCTGGCTTTGACCTCCAGCACTGCACACATAGAACGAGAAAGGCCTGACATGGTGGTGTGCACCTTAATACCAGCATCCAGGACGCAACGCAGCATCCAGGACCATGCAGGTGGATCTCAGAATTCAAGGTTCAAGGTCAGCCTGGTCTGTATGGTGAACGAGAGAAGGGTGGGGGAAGGGTTGCTTGATTCGAGATGGATCAATGTGAGTGTCTTAGAACATACTTCAGTGTGCCATCTGAGGAAGTAGCCCCTGTACGCTCACTCTTGCCTAGGGAAACAAGGGGGACTGCAGAGGATTAATAATAGCTAGTATGTACTAGAAAGTTCTCTACAGAGTTCATTACTTTATACCTCTGCAGGGTATGAAATGTTTGAGAGGTGTGCAATGAGGGGAGACAGAGGAGCTGTTGGTCCAGCGTTCCGCAGTTCCGGAGTGATGACCTGGGCATGAGACCCTGAGTGACGTAGAGCATGCTCTTTCCCTCCACGAAGTGTTTCAGTTGAGCCACGAATGAGTTCACTGACCGGTTTAGGTGAAAGTATTCCAGGCAGAGGGGACAGCTCATCTGAGAGCACGGAAAGCGAGCTCAATATGGCTGAGCCGTAAGGAATGAGCAGGCAGGTAGGGCTGGCATAGGAGAGGAGAATGATTTTACGGAAGGATTTCTTTTCTTTGTGTGTATGCCTGTGTGTAGCTATGTTCACCTGTGCATGCTGGCTGGGTGTCGTGTCCTGTTCTGTCAGCTATGCCAGTAGCTGGCCTACCCCTCTCTGCCCCCAGTATTGGGACCAGAGGTGTGTGTGTGGTCACATTTGAGTTTGTTATGAAACTTCTGGGGATTTGAACTTATACATATGTGCATTTGTACCAAGTATTCAAACTGCTGAGCCATCTTCCCTGCCCAAGTTTTTAAAGTCACAGACCCCCTCCCCCTCCACTCCAAATATGCTAAAAAATTCTTTTGACGATTTCATACGTGTATATGATATATTCTGATCTCAGCTATCCTCCCCGTTCTTCTTTCCCCAACCTCTGCCAGCCCCTCCCTCTTTCCAGCAAGTCCCCCTCCCCACAGTCATGCTTTTGTTTTTGTAAATGTCTATTCAGAATGTGTCAGTGTCTGCTTGGAACTGCAGTGCTGTCATTCTCTAACTGCAGAGTGGCAGGCCACTTCAGTCTGGCCTTCCCAGGTTTCACAGAGAGGTCACCAGAGTCTGTCTCAGGAAAGCAGCAGAGTAATGAGGAATGTGAGCTTGGAGCCAAGGCAATCCTGCCTCTGCTCCCTCACAGGTAAAATGGGACCACACTTGATTTTAACCAAGAGGCCAAGAAGCAGAGGAAGTGGGACTTCCGGTCGGAGAGATGTCTGGTGGCTGAGAGAGCTGCTGATCTTGCGGAAGTCATTCCCTGTAGAGACGGAGGGCAGTTTACACCTTCCTGTAGTAAATGTTGTCTGGGAGGCTTACTGCCTCCATCTGCTAACCTAGCCCTAGTCCTGGAAGCTTCTAGCTTCTGTACAATCTAATCTAGGCCCAGAATGTTTCAGCCTCTGAGATTTGCTGCTGAATAAGCTCACCTTTCTAGTTCTTTCTGAATAATGGCTGGCTGGTTCACATCAGCTGCTCTGGCTCAGATCCTCTCCAAGCTGACTGATTCAGTCTGGCTTCTCCTGGCTTCTGACAGAATTGCTCTGCTTGACCTCAAACTAACTCTGTCAATCGGTTCTAATCTTCTGATTCCTCCTTCTCTGGCTCATTCTGTCTTCACCTGTGTCTAGCTTGTTCTCTCTTGCAACCTGTCTCTAACTGTCCTGGTAAAACTGTCTGTCTCCTCCCTCTCTTTTTTTCTGTCTCTGCGCTGTTCTCTTAAGTGCCTTCCCTTTTTCTCTTTCCACATGAGAGAGTGTGTGTGTGTGTGGGTGGATCCTATGTCTTACTCATTCTGTCAAGTCTTTCTTTGATTCGTCACTTTTTCTGCCACTCAAATAACCATCACTTTCAAACGTGGGTGCTTCCTTCTATGCACTAGCTTTACCCACATTGTTTGGGATTAAAGGTGTGTGGTAAGGGTTGAGCCATGCCACAACTAAGAAGTTTTTCAGTATATAACACAATCTTAGGGTTTACAGTGTGATCAAATATCCTGCAACATTCCTGTTAACTTCAGCTCCAAGGGATCTATGACCTCTCCTGACCTCTCTAGACGCTGCCTGCACATGGTGCACATATATACGCTGAGGTACAGATGAATTCATATAATTTTTTTTTTAAATCATTTTATTACATGAGTACATTGTAGCTGTTTTCAGACATACCAGAAGAGGGCATCAAATCCCATTACAGGTGGTTGTGAGCCACCATGTGGTTGCTGGGAATTGAACTCAGGACCTCTGGAAGAGCAGTCAGTGCTCTTAACCACTGAGCCATCTCTCCAGC